CATGGGTACGAAGAGTAGAACTGCCCTGCAGCTCCTCCCTATCCCTATTCCTATCCCTATGCCCCACAACGGTGTCGATACAAAAGGCTATGCTATGCGCTGAAGAATGGCAAAGCTGACGACACCAATTGGTGTTTTTGCCATATTTAGTTACAAGAGAGATTCAGATTGGAATGAGAGTGTTGGAGTTGGGATGGCATACTGGGATCGGAAATGGGAACGGGGACGGGAAGAGTCTGGAACTGTGTTCTCGGACTGTCAACGCCTTTTGGCTGCAGCAAATATGGACAAATTGCAGTGAACAGAGCTACGCTTTTGGCACTAATAGAAACTTCATGACATGATTGATGACTCACAGCGCAGAGAACCAGAAATAGAATTAGAAATAGAGACAGAAACAGAAACAGAACTAGAATTAAAATTAAAATTAGAACTAGAGCAGCCCATAGATGGTTCTGCTAAAAGGTTTTCCTTCAGCCTTCGTTGACTCGGAAAATTGATTCAAGTGCAGATCGAGATGAAGATGAAGATGGAGCTGAAGCTGAAGCTGGAGTTGGATGAAATCATCTTCAAGTGTTCATTGCTCCGACTAAGTTAGTTAAGTCTAACAGTTAATAAACACTTGTGGTGTGTGACAGCAGAGGCAACTCCTACGCCATCTTCGCTGACATCTTCATGCTACACGAGGCACAGAGTGCCACAGAGTGTTGAGTTCTATTGTCATTAGTGGCAGATCCCAACGAGTTTCAACGGGCAGCAACTGTTTGTCCCTCCTCCCACAACTTCGCTGTTTACGTAATGCCCGTGATTCCGATTCCTGCAGCAACATAAATAATGTCTCTGTGGCATGCACTCGTAAGCCGAAACCGCAACTCCCGCAGCTCTCATTGGAATGCACATAACTGTCATTGTCTATGTCACTAAGCAAAGCAACTTCGGTGGAGGCCCACTTGGCGGAGGCAGTCCTAACCCCTGGCTAACCACACGCTTGGCTGGGGCTGCAGATACTCCCCCTACAGCTACACTCCACACTATTCTCCGTTCTATGCAATTCGTTGGCATCATTTCCATTAATGAAATGCTTAGAGGCTCGACAAATTATTGTGTTGCTGCTCATGCGTGTGCAGCCGACTTGGGGTACACTCCAAATGGAGCAGAGCCGCAGTCAGGCCAGAGTCGAAGCTCTAGAACATTGAGTGGCCCTGGGCCATCCATCGCTGAATCGTGAAGCCCTTGTGGCGGCTTTCACTGAACCAATCGAGTCAGAGTCCGTGGTTGTGTCCCATGGTTTTGCCCGAGAAAATTAGCAGAAATCACTTTCTTTCGATAGACTCTGACCATCTTCTCCTCAGACTCCTTCTCAGACTCTTCCCATGTCTTCCATCTCTGTGTGCCCATTACTCTACCCATTCTGGTGGGTGAAACGGGATGGATGTTTGGGAAAAGTGCACTTAACGGGCATCCCAGTCAAATCATGCAAAAAAACGTGAGCCGATGACGTGAGCCCGTCAGCCATCAATCGAGCAGTTGGTAGTAGAAGGGAAGCCAACGAAGTTGTACGAGTAGAAGCTGGGAAACAGCACAGAACAGCAAAGTTTTAGCGGAATTTTTCGATGGCTGCTACAGTACAGGATGATTGATACCCAGTAAAGGGAGGAGGATACAAATTATGAATGTGTGGGTGTATGGGTGCTCCTTACCTGATATATTTTCACCGAGAAGCCCTGGAATGTGGAGTGCATTTCTGTATGGAACTCAGCGGAATCTTTGGCAAAACCTATCTGCCCCAGCCACAATGTTTCCTCGCATCCACTTGCTGCCTTTGGGGCACAGAGAAACGGAAACCATAACGAAAATCGAAAACTATTTTTCTCAGCCAGCGAGGAAAGCGTTTAACAGAGCTTAGACCCAGACCCAGACCCAGAGCCAGAGCCCGTCCAAAGATGTCCGAGATGAGCTGCTCTCTCTCTCTCTCTCTCTTTCTCTTTGCTGCGATCCTGAGCAGAAGCCTGTGCTCGATGCCGTGCCCGTTGGCGGAAAATTCAGAGAGCTGCCTGCCCGGCGACGACCCGTTATCAGCAACGTTTTCCTGCATTTCCTTTTGGGAAAGAAAGTTTTTCGCTAGCACCCCAAAAACAAAAAAAAAAAACAAAAACACACAGATCTCCAAGAGATTTCTTTGGTATTTTCTTTGTCTTTCGGTCTGTCCGGCGCTGTCCGCTCTATCCGCTCTATCCGCTCCGTCCGCTCTGTCCATCATTCCTTTGTTCTTTTGCTCAGCGGCGGCGGCGGTTGTGTGTGGGGATTTTGGTTCTCGATCTAAATCAGAGTCTGCTGCTCCCTCCACAACTAACGGCATCAGTTACACTACATAACTGTTCTCACTTTCTTCGCGCTCTTTGGATTTATTGCTGCGCGTCTTTTGTTTTTCTGTCTCCTCTGTCTGTCTGTCTGTCTGTCTCTCTTTGCTTCCCTGCCGCACTGTCTCGCTCGCTCTCTGTCTTTCTGTATGTGTTTTTTTGTTGTGTGTTATTCTCGCGCTTCCGGTGGCCAGATACAGAAACAGAATCAGCACCAGAACCGGAGCTCCATGCGGAGTTGGAGGCATTACTTAGAAGCCATTACATGGCAAAAATAATGTAGACCAATGGGTGGGGGCTGCAATGGGGTGCCCCCAGAAATTGGATAAACTAAGCTGAACTAAACGAATATTTTTTTTGTTTTTTTCTTTGTTTGTTCAGCTGAAAACCTAAGAGCAAGAGAGAACTTCCACCGCTCATTTGCATAATAAATAAATAAATATAATTCTGGATTCTTTTCTATGGATTAGCACTTTCACCCATTTACAAAGTTGTTCCATTCCACAAGCTCCAATTGAGTTTCCATAAATCATAAATCCAAATCCCGAGCTTAAAGTTGATTCTTGTCTCTGGTTATGTTTCTCTGAGAGAAATCAGCAGCTGGAGAGGGGGGGGGGGGGGGGGGGGGGGGGGTCCCAGAAATGATTTTCGGGAGAAAAAAAAAAAAACAAAAACAAACCACCCCCCCCGAGGAGAACGGCGGGACCGACAAAAAAAAA